CAAAGAGAATTTTTACAGATTATCAAACTAGCCATCTAAAAAGTGGTAACATTATAATTAAAGATGAAAATGAAGGAATTAGCGTATCTTCCTTTAAATCACCACCTATCAAAGTTATACCATTTTATGTAAATGAAAAATCAAGTAACAATATTAATAGTAATAATAATAATGCCAATATTACAATTACGACAAGTCAAAATACAACCAATAATAATAATAATAATAATAATAATAATAATAATAATAATAATAATAATATTAACAGGAAAATTTTAATTCATAAACATTCTTTTTCCGGTGAACTTACATTTAATTTACCACAACCACAACAACAATCGCAACTTAATACAAGTGGTGGATATTCACCATTAGGTGGTACATCACCATCCTCACCATTATCCCCACCAGTTCAGCACATTAATAGATCCCCAACTCTCTCAAACATACCTACCCAACAATTACAGCAATCACCATCATCACTATCACCATTATCCCCTTTATCCCCCACAACAGGAGGAAAACAAAATTCATTAACTCTTTCACCCCCACCCCCATCCTCTGTAAATAAACCACCACCAATACCCTCAAATAGAGCCTTACCATCCTTACCAGGCAAACCCCCGGTACCATCCCAGCATACTAAACCAACACACTGTCGTAGTCAATCTGCATCAGCTTCAGCATCTGGCTCACATAATAGTATAGCACCAATACCAACACATAGTAGTCAAAGTAGAACACCACCACCATTACCAAGTCGTAGCCAATCTACATTACTATTAAGCAACCCACCACCAATTTCAATATACACACCAAATAGCAATAGTAATTCATATTCATCACCACCACAACAATCGCCCAATAGTATAAATCGTACCCAATCAAATATGGCCTTATCACCATCACAACAAAGAAGAATTCAACCCCAACCACCTATTACTCACACTCAATCCAGTTTTTCATTAACCTCAACCCCTCCATCTACTCCACCTCCATTACCCCCATCAAATAAACAACAACCCCTTCAACAAAGACCAACCCCACCAATTCCAAATCGTAGTTTATCAAGTTCAACTATTGATACACCCTCATCACCAAATCCAACTCCACCTAAAACATTAAATAGACCTCCACCATTAAATATACCATCAACAACCCCACCACCATCACTATCTTCATCAACTGAAAATATTCAAACTCCAAAAAATACTCAACAACAACCACAACCACCTCCACCACCACCACCAGCTCCACAGCAAAATAACATCTCTGGGTCAGGCCCACCCAATAGACCACCACCACCAACTCCACAAAGTCGTACAACTGGTGTTCAAAATAATAGTTTATATCAATCTAAAAATTTACCACCCCCAATTTTTAGTTAAGCAAAAAATATGATTTTTTTTTTTTAATTAAAAAAAAAAAAAAAAAAAACAATTCAATATAATATAATATAATAAAATAACAAATCTAAAATATAAATAAAAAAGAAAGAAAAAATATTTAAATATTTTTTTATTTGGAAAATTTTTAATCATAATTATTTTTAGCAATATAATTTATTTTTTTTTTTAAAAATTTTTTTTTTTCTTTTTTTTTAAAAATTTTTTTTTATAAAATTTTTTTTTTTTTTTTTTTAATTTTTTTTTTTTAATTTACCCCAAGAGGTCCCTAAACAATATAAAACAGGGAGGATGAATGTAAAAATATTTTGTTAAGAAAATTAAACCATAGAATTAAAGATTATTTTATTAATTTTATCAATAGAACATAGGAAAACTCTTTATGGGCCATGGGAGAGAATGAAAACAATAACAACAACAACAACAACAATCACAACAACCACCGCAACCAATAAATAATAGTATGACCAATACTATGACCCATGAAGAGTTTGAAAGACAACAACAATCACAACCACAACCAATAAATAATGTTATGAGATTTTTTCAAAACTTTGGTTTACCAAACAATCAAGAGCAACAACCACAACAACCATCGCCACAATCACAACAACCAAATATATTTTCTTTTTTAAGTGGAGAAATTAAAAATAGTTTAACATCACCAACTATTTCACCATCAACATCATCAAATAATATAAATAATAATTTAAATGGATCTCATTCAAACTTATCATCATCATTTGGTAATTTAATTACAAAGTCAGTTAGCAATAATAGCATCAATCAAAATAATCAAAATAATCAAAAGTAAGTAAATTATTATTATAATTTGAAAATGTTTATAAATTATTAATTTATTTTTTTATAGTTTACATAATGGGTTATATTTGAATGGTAAAAATATTAAAATCAATTCAAATAAAGTTTTGGATAGTAAATTTGAAGTTGAATCACAAACTGTTACAGTTATTCAATCAAGTAGAAATGCAGGAAATAGTTTAGGAAATTTAATAACATTTAATAAAAATTTTATATCATATGTTGTTAAAGGTGAAAAAGTTAGAATCTTGGATCGTTCATCATCAAATAAAGTTTTATTAAAAGATTTTCCAGATGTAGTCGATATTCAGTTCCATAGTGAAGATGTAAATATTCTTTCGTGTTGTTCAATGGGTAGCGGATCCATTTATATTTACGAGTTGGTAAATAATATTCAAACATTAGAAGATGTAAAACTATTAGCTAAAATTCCACCACCACCCCAAATAGTAACCAATGAAAAGACATATTATACTACTGTAAAATGGCATCCAACCAAACCAGATATTCTCCTTACCTGTACAAATAATTCCCCAACAGTCTATTGTTTCAATATTCACAATCCAAATACCCCACTAATAGTTTTAGAGCCACCAAAATCAACTATAGAAAGTTTAAATCATCACACCACAGGTTTAAATTGGTCATCTGATGGAGCATCCATTGCCTTTTGTAATAAAGATTGTATTTGCATCTATGGTACCGATCTTCCAAATAGTCATCAATCATTAAAAAGCATTTACCAAAACAATAATGATGAATTTAAAGATGGTTTCCTTTATGTATATCAAATAAGTGAAAACTATTTAGTAGCCGTAACAAATCAATCAGAAATCATTTTATTTTCAACTTTAAATTGGTCCGTTATTCAAAGAATTACTTTTTCAACAAGTTTATTCACCAACTATTCATTATTTACAATTAAAGATTCATTTTTATTTATTTCTGACAATAACTCTTCAAAAGCATATATTATTCATATCAACGAATCTGAAACCGATATTCCCCATTTCGACTTTATAAATCAATGCGATTTTAAAAAACCAATAATAAGTTTTTGTTTCCAATCATCACCATCTATTTCATCTCTAAATAGCTCAAAAGGTTCAATTCAACAACAACAACAAGATAAAGAAAAAGAAGAAAAATGTTTTTGTACTTGTACTATTCAATCAAATGCCATATCACTTCATTCAATTACTTTAGATAGTTGTTATTCAGAAAATGATCAATATACTTGTGATTCAAGTGATATTATTGAACAATTTGGAAACTATAAAGATAATTTAGATAATCAACAAAATAATAATGATATTAATATTAATATTAGTACCCCAATAAATGAACCATTATCACCAATAAGTAGTACAAATGCAACTATAGGCAGCGAAGATGAAGATAAATTAAATACTTTAACAAATACAAAGCCTTTTGTTCAACCTTCATCACCACCACCATTATCTTTACCAGAACCAGATTTAACCTCTTGTGGTGTCCCCTCAACAAGTGACTCTATAATTAACTCTTCAATCTCACCATCTATTGAAAATAACACAACCACCAACACCACAAAAGCCAAAAAAGAAAGTACAAAAGTTTCAAAGAAAAAAACAGCCACTCCAACTACAACCACAACCACAACCACTACCACTACTAATAAACCAGATTCACCATCCTTATCACCAACAATATATAATGTAACTGAAGATACATTAGTAGGCTCAACTTCACCAGTAACTGCTAAAAAGAAATCCTCAAAACCAAAAGTTTCAAGCTCAAGTTCAAGTGAATCATTAAATCAAGATAGTAAAGAAACCAAATCAGTTACCCCAAGCAAAACTTCAAAATCTTTAGCAACTCCAACAACACCATCAACACCAACACCGGCCGCAACAACCACCCCATCAACAACACCAACCAAACCTAAAAATGTTACTCCATCGTTTGTTCCACCAGTATTAAATATTCCATTATCAAATCCAGTATCGAATAAACAACCAGGTTCAAAACCAAAAGAAACAACTTCACCATCTTCAATTCCACAAACTATACCATTACCATCTTCACCAGCTCCACAACCACAACCACAACAACAACAACAAGTTGAAACCATTTCATCACCATCCATTCAACAATCACAACCACAACAAGTATCATCCTCTTCATCATCGTCATCATCACCAAATCAATATATAGCAACACAATCACAAGATTACAATTTCTTATTTAAAGAAATGGAAAATAGGTTATTTAATAGAATTGAAAAATCAATGATTAATCAAATTACCCAATTAGAAAAAGAAAGACAAGAGAGAGAACAATTAGAAAGAGAAAGACAAGAAAAACTTTTAACTGTTGTACATCAATCAATAACTACAATGGCCAAAGCTAATTTAGAAAAAGTTATAAAGAAAGAGATTGCCAACACATTTGTAAATTTAGAGAAAACACTTCCAGCTGCTATAGAGACCACTGTTACTAAATTAACTCTAGAACAAATGAAGAAACTTTCAGCCAAAACTGATTCTCTTTTAAAATCATCATCTGAAGCCATTGTAAATAATGTAAAGGGTGCCATTATATCCGATGCTTTTGAAGGTTTAATCAAACCACAAATAGAATCAGTTTTCCTCAGTTATTTCCAAAATGTTTTAATTCCAGGATTTGATAAAAGCTGCCAATCAATGTTTACCCACCTCAGCTATACTTTTGAAAATGGTTTTAATCAAGCAATTCAACATCAAACATTAAATGCTCAAGGTCAACATTTAGCACTTGAAAAAATATTAAATGAAAATACAACAATCTTAAAGGAATGTACTCAATCTTTAAATGAACAACAAACAAATCTTTTTAATGAATTGAAAAAACAACAAGAAAAACAACAATTCATTAGTCAGCAATTACAACAATTACAACAACAGCAACCACAACAACAATTTTCACCACCACCACCACCACATCACATGCCACCAATGCATCAACAACAACAATTTTCACCACAACCACCTTTTCCAAATTTACCACAAATGAATATGAAAATGAACCCACAAAACTTTTATCAATTCCAAAATCCAAATATGATGAATATGAATTCACCAAATGAATCTTTCCAACATTTACAACAACCATTATCTCCACAACAATCACAACAACCACAACAATCACCAGCTCCATCACCACCACCACAACAGCAATCACAACAACAACAACAACAATCACAACAAAATAAAAACTCTTCAATTACTTTACAACAACAACAAGTTATTAATCAAAAACTTGCATCATATCCACAATTAAAAGCCTTAGTCGAAACCAATTATATCGATGCATTTAATTTTGCCCTAAATGCCTCAAATCTTCAAATGGTTGTTAATTTATGTTCATCACTCGATCCAAGCGTAGTACTTTCAAGTATGAAATTCCCTCAAACCATTATTCTTTCTTTAATTCAACAACTTTCAATTAATCTTACTACCGATACTGAACTTAAATTAAAATGGATTAAAGATTGTCTTTTCTTTGTAGATAATAGTAAAGCCGATGTCACCAAAAAAATTCTTAAAGTTCTCAAAGTCAAATTAGATGATCCTCAATTATCTTCTTCTAATCAACATCTACTTCAACAAATTAAATTTATGATTAAAGATATTTAATTTTAAATTATCATAAAAAAAAAAAAATCTCTAAATTCAAAATTAAAATACATATACTTTAAAAATAATCATAATAAATAAATAATTGTAAAAAAAATATTACACAAAAATTTTTTTTTTTTTTTTTTTTTTTTTTTTTTTTTTTTTTGGGTTTTGGCCCCGAAAAAGGGAAAAAGGAAAAGGTCAAAGGGAAAAAGGAATTTCTAATTTTTTTTTTTTTCAAATTTTTTTTTTTTTTTTTTTCCGGTCGGGGAGAGAATTTTGGATTTGTTATAATTTTTTGGATAAGGAAAAAAAGGGAATATAGATTGGGGGGGGGTTTTTCCCTTTTTTCCAAAAGGGTTTTTTTTTTTAATTAAAAGATTTTTTTTTTTTTTTTTATAATTTCAAATAAAAAATTTATGAAGTGGGTGAATCAAATCAATTAATCAAAGAAAAAAAATTTTTTTATTAACATGAAAAAAAATAATTTATTAATAATTTAAAGAGAAAAAAAAAAAATTAAATTATTTTATTTGAAAGTTTGGTTTTATTTAACGGCAGTGGCCATTTTTATTATTTTAAAAAAAAATAAATTTTTTTTAAATATCTTTAACTTTTTTATATATTATTTTTTAAAATTTTTTTTTTTTTTTTTTTTTTTTTTTTTTTTTTAAAACCCCCCCATTTGTGTCATATGAAACATCGTTGTTATATTTTGTATAATTAAAATATATATATTTATTTATTTATTTATTTATTTTTAATCTTTATTTTTAAAAAAACAAATTGTATTATTTCTTGTACTACTAAGAAAAGGAGAAAGAAAATAAATATATCATACATAATATTACAATAATTTTTTTAAAATAAAAAAAAACACACACAATCACACACCCACACGAATTTTATTTTTAAAAAAATAATCAAATCACTTCTTTTTTTTTTTTTTTTTTAAAAATAAAATTTTAAAATAATATTATTAATAAAAGTTAATTTTATTTATTTATTATACAATCATCATTATTTATACAAATACTTTAGTTTTTCTTTTTTTTTTTTTTTTCTATAATTAATTAAATATTTAATAATAAATAATAAAATGATTCCAAAATCAAAAGCTGAAGGTGTACCAGACTTTGTACTTTTAAACCAAATCACTGAAAATGCATTCATCGAAAATCTCATCACAAGACATAAAACAGATAATATCTATACCTACATTGGTGATGTAGTTATTTCATCAAATCCATTTAAAAAAATGAATATCTACAACGAAAGTGATATTAAAAATTATAATGGTAGATATAAATATGAAATGCCACCACATATGTAAGTATAACCTCCTTTTTTTATTTTTATTATTATTTATTAATTTTTTTTTTTTTTAAATTTCATTTTTTAAAATTTCAAAATTTTAATTTAGTTATGCTCTTGCAAATGATGCATATCGTTCAATGAGACAAAATCAAGAAAAGCAATGTGTTATTATTTCAGGTGAATCAGGTGCTGGTAAAACTGAAGCAAGTAAAAAGATTATGCAATTTTTAACTTTTGTTAGTTCAAAATCAAACGAAGGTGAAAGAATTTCAAAGATGCTTTTAGAATCAAATCCATTACTTGAAGCATTTGGTAATGCTAAAACTTTAAGAAACGATAATAGTTCACGTTTTGGTAAATATATGGAAATGCAATTTAATCCAGTAGGTTCACCAATTGGTGGTAAAATCACAAATTATTTATTAGAAAAATCAAGAGTAGTTGGTAGAGCTAATGGTGAAAGAAGTTTTCATATCTTTTATCAAATGTTAAAAGGTTTATCACAATCAAAATTAAGTAAGTAATAAATAAACAAACAAACACACATATTTTTTTTAAATTTATGCTAATGTAAAATTTTTTTTTTTTATTATAGACGAACTTGGTTTAACTCCAAATGCATCATCTTATGACTATCTTAAAAAAAGTGGTTGTTTTGATGTCTCAACAATTGATGATAGTGCAGATTTTAAAGCTGTTATTGTAAATATAAAATTATTAAAATTATTAGAATATGTATTTTTAAAAAAAAAACTAATTTTTTTAAAATTTTTTTTAATAAACTTATAGAAAGCTATGGAAACATTAGGATTAAAAGAAAATGATCAAAATTCAATTTGGAGAATTTTATCAGCAATTTTACATATTGGTAATATTTCATTTGTTGAAACTTCAGAACAAAAAACAGGTACTACAACAGTTAGAGTTGCAGATCAAAAACCATTAGCAGCAGTATCACAATGTTTAAAAACAGATCCACATGCATTATCAATGGCTTTATGTTATCGTTCAATTAGTACAGGTGTTGGTAAACGTTGTTCAGTTATTTCAGTACCAATGGATGTAGCTCAAGCTACTTTTAGTAGAGATGCATTAGCCAAAGCTCTTTATGAACGTTTATTCCAATGGTTAGTTTCAAAGATCAATACAATTATCAACTCACCAGAAAAAGGACCAGTTATTGGTATTTTAGATATTTATGGTTTCGAAGTTTTCGATACCAATTCATTCGAACAATTAAATATCAATTATTGTAATGAAAAACTTCAACAACTTTTCATCGAATTAACTTTAAAGAGTGAACAAGAAGAATATATCCGTGAAGGTATTGAATGGCAAAACATCGATTACTTTAACAACAAACCAATTTGTGAATTAATCGAAAAGAAACCAATGGGTCTTGTATCTTTACTCGATGAAGCTTGTCTTATTGCAAAGAGTACCGATGAAACTTTCCTCCAATCTATCTGTAAAAACTTTGAAAAGAATCCACATTTCCAATCATATCAATCATCAAGAGATCGTTCCATTGGTGACACTTGTTTCCGTATGAAACATTATGCCGGTGATGTAACTTATGATGTTAGAGGTTTCCTTGATAAAAATAAAGATACTCTTTTTGGTGATTTAATCACATGTATGCAATCATCAAGCGATTCATTAATCAATGGCCTCTTCCCACCAACTCGTCCAGAAGATTCAAAGAGAAGACCAGAAACTGCAGGCAGTCAATTTAGAAATGCCATGAATGCTCTTATCACAACTTTATTAGCATGTTCACCACACTATGTCCGTTGTATTAAAAGTAATGATAACAAACAAGCTGGTATTATCGATGAAGAAAGAGTAAGACATCAAGTACGTTATTTAGGTCTTTTAGAAAATGTTAGAGTACGTAGAGCTGGTTTTGCTAATCGTCAAACCTATGAAAGATTTGCCACTCGTTACAAGATGTTATCTAAAGCCACTTGGCCAACATTCAATGGCAATGCCAAACAAGCTACTGAAGCTATTCTTGCAGCACACAACATCAAAAAAGAAGAGTATCGTATGGGTAAAACTAAAATCTTTATTAGAAATCCAACTACCCTCTTTTATTTCGAAGAGAAGAGAGAAAGTGAAATGCCAAGAATCGTTACATTAATCCAAAAGACATGGCGTGGTTATAAAGCACGTTCTAAATGGAATCAACGTAAAGCTGCAATTAAAATACAATTATTCTACCGTACCTATCGTTATAAGAAATGGTTCAGAGAACTCCACAGAGCATTTAAAGATGTCTCTAAAGATCCACAATGGGGTCGTTATGTTTTCTGGCCAAAACATCCATCAATTTTAGATAGAGCCGTCGAATTAACTCACAAGATTCACAACTGTTGGAGAGCTGAAAAGATGGTACTCTCATTAGGTGCAGGTCAAGCTCACATGAGACAAAAGGTATTGGCTTATGATATTTTCCATGGTAAAAAGAAATGGGACTTTAGACGTCATTTCGATGCAGATTATCTCGAAAAACCAACAAATCCAAATCAATCCAAATATGTTAATGCAATGCAAAAACTCTTTGCAACCTATGGTGATACCGAAGTTTTATTTGCTGACTATGTTATGAAGGTCAATCCAAAAGGTGTACCACAAAAACGTGGTATCATTATCACCAACAACAATGTCTATAAATTCGATACCAACTCTAAAATGAAAAAATGGGGTACTCCATTGGTTGATGTCGCCGCCATTTCAGTATCACCATTTGTAGATACCTTTGTTGTACTTCATTGTAAATCACCAGCAAGAGATTTCCTTTTAGATTGTGGTATCAATGGCTATGAAGGTGTTTCAGAAATTACAACTGTTATCGTTCAACAAATTTTTAAATTAACTGGTGTTAGAGTAACTGTAAACTTTTCAAGAAATATTAATTATAACAATGCACGTCCAAAAGGTTCTGATACTCAATTATCATTTACACCAATAAATAATGATCCAAGATTAATTGGTTCACAATTCAAAAAAATTAAATCTGGTCAAGCAACCATTAATTTTAGAGAATAAAAATAAAAAAATTAAATAAATAAAAAATATTATATTTTGTATAAAACTTTTTCTTTTCTTTTCTTTCTTTTTTTTTTTTTTATAAAACAAATTTTATTTATTAATTAGTTTATTTCTTTTATTTTATTTTGTTTATTTATTTTAAATATTTTATATTTTATTTATTGTTATTTTTTTAATTATCTTTAACTTTTATAATATTTTTCCATTTTTGATAATAAACTGAAATTGTAGTAAATAGATTACCAAAACCTAATAATAAAAATATTAAACCACACATGTAAACTTGCCATTCAACATTTCCATCTCTTTGATATGCAAAGTAGAAAAATGAAAATGAATTATATAATTGGAAAAACTAAAAAAAAATAAAAATAAATATTAGTATATTTTAAAACATGGTGGTTATTTAAAAAAAAAAAAAGAAAAAACTTACCTGTACAAATAATAAGAAAGGTAATAAAAACATTGCAGATGGAGTCCAACCTGGATCATTATTCCAACCTTCAGATTCGCCAGTAACATCGATTATGTTTGCTTTGCCCATAGCTACTAATTTATAGAGTCTACCTTGTTGATAACGATTTGTTAAAATTTGAACCAAACCTTGACAACCGGAGAAATAAGTTACTTGAGGAAGGAAATAAGTAAAAGCTTCACTAAATGGGAAGAGTAAATTTGTAAGTGAACCAGCTATAGAGAGATAATGATGCATAATCCACCATGGTTTGATTGAACTGCCATTGACTAAAAGAATATTTTCACGAAGAGCTAAAGTGATATAGTAATAGAGTAACCAAATTTGCCATGAAGTGGTTACAAATGATGAATGTGGATATAGGAGTAATAATACGACAAATATAATAAATTGTGGGTTGGTCTTCTTTTTAAATTTTTCGTACTCTGTCTTTAATCTAAACTTTTCATTCTCTCTTAAATGTTTAACATTAACCTGTCCTAAAAATAAACGTACAAAAATACTGCCAGTTTCAGGTGTAAATAATCCTTTTGAACGCTTTACATTCATTTTAATTTGTTCGAGGTCATCTGTAAGTTCTTTTATAATATTGTTATCTATTTGCTTTTCTTTTGTTAATATTTGTTTAAGTCTACTTTGAAGATGAGATGATTCCTTTTCATGTTTTGCTAATGTACCTGCTATATCATCAACTTGTTTATATACATCATTAATTTCTTTTTTGATTTTAATTCCTTTTTCTTGGCAACTTAAATTGCTTCTTTTTAATTCTAAAATTTCATTCTTGATTTCATTAAATTCTTTATTATTATTATTATTAATATTATTATTATTATTTATTATTTTTTTATTTTTTTCTTCTATTAATTCCATCATTTTTATTTTATTTTAAAAATAAAAAATTAAAAAATTAAAATTTTTTATTTTTTTTATTTTTATAAATTAGATAATTTGATATTATTTATTATATGTTTTATTTTGAAAAAAATAAAAAAAAAAAAAAATTATATTTTTTGGTTTTTTTTTAAAATTTTAAATAAAAAAAATAAAAAATAAAAAAAAAAAAAAGGAAAATTCTTTTTTAAAATATTATTTTTTTATTTTTTTAAAATATATACAAAAAATAAGAATTTAATAAAATATATATTATTCTATTATTTATATTATTAGTTATATGTTTTGGAAAAAAAAAAAAAATAAAAGAAACAAAAAAAAAAAAAAAATTAAAAAAAAAAAAGATAAAAAAAGACAAAAAAAAAAATTTAAAAAAAAAAAATCAAAAAAAAAAAAAAAAATTATCAAACTCAACCTTTGATATTATTTTTTTTTTTAAAAAAAAACTTACAAAGATATCTATATTAACTCTTTTAATGCATATGAAAGAATATTATTTTCAATGGATTATTTATTATTGTTTTTATTTATTTTTATAAAAATTTTTTGAAAAAAAGTTGTTTTATACCAAAATAATATTATGATAAAAATGGATTTATTTATTTTTTTATTTATTTATTTAATTAATGTGGAGCTTTAAATTAATTTAAAATATTTAAAGAATGATTTAAAGAACAAAAAAAAAAAAAATTATTTTTCAAACTATTTTTCTTATCTTTTTTTTTTTTTTTTTTTTTTAATTTTTTATTTTTAAAATTTTTTTTTTTTTTTTTTTAATTTTTTTTAAATTTTTTTTTATTTTTTATCACTATATTTTTCTTTTATTATATATACTTTTTTTTTTATTTTTTTAATAATAATAGAATATCTAAAATTACAAGTTTATACTATTTTTAATCAAATAATAAATAATAATATTATTTTTATAAAATAAAAAAGAAAAATGAAAAGAAAGGTTTTATTAATGGGTAGATCAGAGTCTGGTAAGACTTCAATGAGATCAATTATTTTTGCAAATTATATTGGTAAGTTTAATTATAGATAATAGCTATAGTAAAAACAATAATAATAATAAAAGATATAAAAGATATAATAGATAAATAAATTAACGATAATTTTATCGTTTTTTTTTATAATTAATATTAACGATAATATTTAAATTTAAAATTTTTACAGCAAGAGATACAATGAGACTTGGTGTTACAATCGATGTTGAACATTCACATGTTAGATTTTTAGGTAATTTAGTATTAAATTTATGGGATTGTGGTGGTCAAGAAGGTTTCTTAGAATCATATTTAACAACACAAAGAGATCATATCTTTAGAAATGTTGAAGTTTTAATTTATGTATTTGACATTGAATCAAGAGAACATCAAAAGGATATAAAGAATTATAAATCATGTATTGAAGCCATTTCACAAAACTCAAAAGATGCTAAAATCTTTTGTTTAGTACACAAAATGGATTTAGTACCAGAAGATCAAAGAGATACACTTTTCAAGAATAAAGAGCAAGAAATTAGACAAGCTTCACTCCCATTAAAACCAACATGTTTCAGAACTTCAATTTGGGATGAAACTCTTTACAAAGCTTGGTCATCCATCGTTTACTCTTTAATTCCAAATGTTAAAGTACTCGAACATAATTTAAACAAGTTTTGCAAAATCTGTGAAGCTGACGAAGTTGTACTCTTTGAAAAAGCAACATTTTTAGTCATCTCTCATTCTGCTAGCAAGGTTCATAAAGATGTCCACCGTTTCGAAAAAATTTCAACCATTATTAAACAATTCTTTTTAAGTTGTTCAAAATCTCAAGCCAACTTCCAAGCTATGGAAGTTAGAAATTCAAATTTTGCCGCTTTTATTGACGCTTTTACTTCAAATACTTATATTATGGTTATTATGTCTGATCCAACAATTGAATCATCTGCCACTTTATTAAATATTCAAGTTGCAAAATCACATTTTGAAAAGTTTATTCAACAAGTTTAAAATAATTAATCCCCATTAATCAATTTTAAATAGTAATAATAAAAAGAAAAAAATAAAAAAAAAAAGAAAAATAAATAAAAATAAAAAAAATAATAAAAGTTATAAATTATAAATATTAAATAAATATTAAATAATTAATTAATTAATCAATCAATCAAACAATTAATATTAATTTATTAATTAATTTTTATAAAAAGAAAACAATTTTAAAAAGGGAATTATATAATCAAAAAATAAAATGTAAAAATCAAAATAATATTAATTTTATTTTTTTATTTATTTATTTTATATCTTTTTTTGTTTTTTTTTAAAATAAAAATGATTAAAAAAATATTGAATTCTAAATTTAGACCTTTTTAATAAAAAAAAAAAAAAAATACAGTTATTGGTTATTAAAATATGTGTTGATTAACGTCCCAATAAATAAAAATAATATTTTTATTTTTTTTTATTTTGAAACAAACCCTTTTTTATTTTTTTATTTTTTTATTTTTTTCCCATATTTTTTTATTTTTTAACCATAAAATATTAATTTAATTTACAATTCTATATTTACAATTATTTATTTTATTATTTTCATATAAATTATATATAAATATTTTTTTTTTTAAAAAAAATAAATTAAAAAAGGTAAATTTTTTTTTCAAAACAAAACCAAAAAAATATATTAATTTTTTTTTTTTCATTTTTTTCATTTTTTTTATAAATTTATAAAAATGTAAATAATATGTATTATAGTAAATGTTTAAAAGAAAAGATCAATTAATTGATTTAATTGAAAATTTTTCAATACTTTCAAATTGTCAACAAGTAAAAAATATATTGTTATTAAAATTAAAAAATCAAGTAACCAACGAAAATGAAATTAAAATTATAAAAAATTTATTAAACCTATTGAAAGTACCAGAAAAGTTTTTGAGAAATGATCCAAAGATCAGATTCAATTTTATCTCTTCTCCCAGTGAAGACCATGATATATTTGTTCCATTACATTTAAATATTGATACATTATATTCATTGGTTCAAGATGAGAGCCAAAGTGAGTTTCTAAAGGTTCATGGTTTAAAAGATTCAATCAAATTAATTATTAAAGAGTTTTATCATTTTATTCAAGATTTGGTATCAAAAGTTAAACTATTTAATGGAAATGAGTTGGCTTTGGATCTATTAGAAGAGAAACCATTGGTATTTTCAGAGTTTCAATCAATAAGATCAATTGATTTAGGACAAGCATTCACACTGGCCTCCTACGATCCAAAAGAGTACTATTTTATAAGAAAGAATCAAAGTGGTAATAGCATTGGCAGTTCTCATAAAGGTGTATATTTCAAAGTAGATTCCGGTAACACATGTTTAAAACCAGCTAGAGAAAATGCAGTATTTCAATTTTATTTAAATTTATTCCAAGATGATGGTTTTATTTCTCCAAGTAGTTTGCTTTTTATTGACCAAATCCCAATATTACCACCCGATAGTGGTGAATGTAAAGAAAGAGAAGAATTAATGAAGAAAAAGAATGAGTTTAATCTAAGTTCATCTCAAGAGGTTTTAAAAAGATTTCCCGACTTGGAAAGAAAAATTTTAAATTTATCAGTAAAGAAAAGAATATCGATTCAAGCTTCATTATTGGTAGATGGTGTAACATTAGAAGAGTTTATGAAAAGTTCACTGGATGAAGATACATTCAATGAAAATATCTCAAATATTGATATGGAAAGTTTTTCAGCCCACATACTATCAAGTCTTTTATTAATTCCATCCGACTACAAGAGTGATAATATTATTATTGAAAAAGGTACAAATAGAATTGTTGGTATTGATAATGATTTGGTAATGGAGTGCGATGAAATCGAAAGAGAAAATGATGGCAAGTATTTTATTAGAACTAAAAACATGTTATATCTTTTACCACAAATGCAAGAGCCAGTTCATTCAAGTATAAGAGAAAAGTTTTTGAAGCATAATCCACAAATCTTTGTTTTAAAATGGTTAATGCAATTATTGGAAAAAGAAAAAGATTATTTGGTTTTGGTAAATTCAGTGCTATCTCATCATCCCAATCAAAATATGGAAAAAGCCGAAAAGAATTTAAATGAATCATTAATGTTCCCATTATGCTTTTTACCTGAGTGGATATCTAAAATGATTGATCGTTTTGCCGAAATTCAAGATCATTTAGAACAAAACCAATCTATAACCCATAACGAATTACTCAAAATTATTCATCCCTATTCATCATATTATTTCGATGCATTGTCAAAGCATTATCAAAATCCATTCAAAAAGTTGCTATCAATTTATAATCGTGAATTTGATTTTATTAGATTATTAAATAAATATCCACCTGATATAGACGAAGCCGATTTGCATCAAATGTATAACCAACTATCATCATTCGCCAAAGCAAATTACGAACCAAATGTTACAATTTTAAGTAGTATCAAAAATATTTTATTTCAAACCAACATTTCAAAATTCTTTGGTAAAGATCTATTGGAATTGGTAGAAATTGTATTTGAAATCGAAAAGCATTATCATATTCATAATGATCAATTTAATAAAACCTGGCTTACTAGTACAATATTCCCATCCATTGTTCGTCAGGGTGCATCGATCGAAATTATTGAAAAGTTTAAAAAGAAATTTAGATTCTATGGTAACGACAATGATGCATCCATTATACATGCAGCAATCGAATCAAAAAGTTCAGAAATGTTTAAAGTTATTTCAATCCTATCAAAATGGTTTAATTTGGATAATTCAATTAACAATTGTACACCATTGGATTTAGCATGTTTAAATAATAATATAGAGTTATTCAAATTTTTAATATCATTGGGAGCGGGTTCAAAAGCATCTTATGTAGTCGTTGAAAATTTTTATAAATCATTAACAAATGATCAAAAATTGCTTTTAAAAGATTCAATCGAATTATTATATCATATCAATCCAAAATCAGCATGGAAATTATCACTAAATTATTTATTACCAATGCAAACATCAACCAATTTTATTATTAAAACCGCATCAGAAGGCACTAGAACTATTGCAAACAGAGATTTATGGAATAATTTATTTTATCAAAACAAACCAAAAAAATCAAATATATATGGTTCAAGATCAGTTCCTTTTATTCAAGATGTAAACTTGGGTCATAAATTATATTTTAAATTTGAGCCACAGTTTCCAGGTATTGAATTATCAGTAACAGCATTGGGACAACAATTGTTTGGTTATATATCACCATTTAGCGAGTTGGCATCGATCAATGAAATTCCAGTTTTAATTTCACAAGCAGTTATTGGCGAGCCATTAAATGATGTTTTATTAAAATATCCAGAAAGAATTAATCAATTAGATCCTTCAAGTATATCAAAAATGTTGGTAATGTCAATGTTATGTAATCCAGCTGATGGAAATTTAGGAAACTATATCATTTCACCAATACCCAATGTTTTAAATAAAAAAACAGAATCATATAAAATAATATCAATTGATAACGATCAAGCTTTTATGCCTCCAAGATGTAAAGAATTAAAAAGTGGTTTATCATTACAAGTCGAAACCGTATTGTTCCTATTTGATCAAATGAAGCACCCAATTCATCAAGATGTTTATTCATCCATTAAAAGTAGAGATTTAAATATGGTTTTAAAGAAATGGGTTCAACACTTGAAAGTTTATCAACAAAATACAATAGATTTGTTTTCAAAATCAGCACACGAACGTTTAAAGAATGAAAGGAGAACTGTACTATCAATAACATTTGCAAGAGGAATGATAAAGAAATTATATTCAAAGTTGATTAGACTTCAAGTTGAATTAAATAAATCAAAAGATAAACCAATTACCCATTTGCAATTACTAGAAATATTAGAGCCAATAGTTGCAACAAGATATAAACTTATTTTAGAAGAATCGCATTTATCAATTTATGATCGTTTTAAAAAATTAAAAAGATTATCTGGTTTCAATAATGATATAGATATATTACGTTTAACCACAAGTTCCATTTATTCAGCAGCTCATCTATTAGAATCAAGAGAAATACCCAATATTAAAGATATTGAAAATGATTTATGGTCTGGTGAATTTGGTCCTGCTCAAGTTGAGGCGGAAATTGATGAGATTAGAAAATGAACATCTTCCCTTTCAAAATATTTTCAATAATTTAACCGATCAAAATACAAGCTTTTTAAAAGTATTGGATAATAATGGTTTTACAGATATTTTTTTTGAAAACTTAATAAAGCAACTAGATTTCAATACAATTACAGTAGATCAAGAAAAGACATTGTTCAAAAGTATTCAAGAAAAAGAAATCAGATATTTAACTTTAAAAAATAGCAAGGTTTTAAACAATAATATATTTTTCAAAAATTTCAATATTTCAGGTTTGGTTAAAATTCATTTCATCAATTGTTCATCTATGGATTCATTAAAAAAAAATACAAATAATTTTTTAGATCAAACTAAAATCGAAATGATATCTTTAAAAAATTTAAGAATCGAAAGAGTAAATTCATTTTATATAAATATATTGGCACCAAATTTAAAAGAATGTTCCATTGTTCAATGTCAGAAATTTAAATTCCCAATCGAACTAAAACAAAATCAAATTTATTCATCTATAGAGGCACCAGAAATTGAAGAATTTAATTTTAGAAATTCATTATCAGCATTTCCATCACTCAATAGTAATTTAGAAAGGTTATATCAAATCTATCCAAATCTTATTAAAATCGATTTAAGTTTTGCAAAGTTTAAAAATCTAGAAATTAATTTTCAACATCCATTTTTAAAAATATTCATCGCAAAGCAAGTGGATCTTTATAAAATTACTTTTGATGGTGAATCAAAATTAGAAATTTTAAATGTTAGAGGCTCTTCATTAAGTGGTGGCATTGGTATAAAACATCCAAGCTTTTTCAAATCGTTAAGAGTTTTAAAAAAAGATAGTCATGTCCATTTAGATTCATCATATATAGGTACTTATTATCCTGGTTTAATGGCAATTGGTAGTGGTGCACTTAGTAGCTATTTCATCAAAGATTTAACAACTAAAATATCAATTCTAGGCTATACTAGCCAAGTGGATTCATTTAGTTTCAAAGGTGATTTCTTTGGTCTCTTTGATATAGGTATCACAAAAAACAATCAAGAAAATGATCGTTTCCCTTTAATTGCAAATCGTTCATCAACTCTATTGTTTATTATAGATACCTCAAATTCGTTGTTAACAGATTTGGAAAATATATTTATTCATTGTAATAAATATTATAAAGAGAAAATTGAAGAATTATTATATTTGGGTGGAATCAAACCACTATTATTAGTTTTATGCGATGATAAAGAGTTTGATGGAACCACATTAAAGGATACACAGCTATTGGACAGAATCGAAGTATTTAAATTAAAATATAAAATAGAGGCTCAAACAATCATTTATCATTTTAATAAAAGTCAAATTGATGATTCTCTTATATCAATGGAAAGTGTAGAAAAAGAAATTATAAGCGATGATTTCAAATCTCAGTTATTTAAAATCGTGAAAGAAAATCATAGACTAATTCAATCAAATAAATCACAATCGGTTTTAACAATTTCATTTTCACTAGGTAAAATCAGCGATACAATTCAATATGTAAATTTACAAAAATCATTATCAACAAATGAACTGTTATTAAATGTTTGCAGTAAATACAATATAAATCCAAAAAATTTCATTTTTACCTATTCAAAAGTAGGTTCACCCACCCCTCAAAAGAGAATAGATTTAGAAAATACTACAATTGAAGGTTTAATGTTGGTTTTATCAGGTTCATTAAAACAAATTTATTTAGAAAGAAAATCTTTTAAATTAAAATAATTATTACTAAATAAAATTTTATTATATATTTTAAAATTATTTTAAGCTTTTTATTTTATTATTAATATTTAATATTTAATATTTATTCAAAAAGCTTATTTTGTTCATTATGATAACCCTTGGTTTCTTATAATTAGTTTCTTGTTTCCAATATTAGAGCTATTTATTACTTGAAATAAAAACCCACCAGGATGTGGGGGTTACTTATTTATTTTAAATCCTAAAAAGGTGTATAAATTAACTAATGTTTATTTTTAATTTCTTTTAATAATTTAAAAATTTATGTATAAATTTTTCAACTTATTTTTATTTTTTATTTTTTTTTTATTTATTTTTTTATTATTTAAAGCTTTTTTTTTTTTTTTATTATCACAAAGTAATAAAGAACAATAAAATAACCTTCAGTTAAAGATCATTGTTAATTCTTTGTATGTATATATAAATATATTAAAAATATTATTAATTTTTTTCTAATAATAAATTTTTTTTTAAAATAGCTATTATTATTACTATTATTATTACTTTTTAATTCATTTATTAGTGATTAAATATTACCGCTTATCCGTTTTTGTGTCACCCTGAAGAGTTTATCTAAAACCTAATATTTTACTTAAACAAGATAAAATAGATAATGTAAATGTCCTTTACATTCATTAAAAATTATAGCTTTCAAATCACACAGTGTTTAAAATTAAAAATAGCTTTAATTTTTTTTTTACATACATTCCAATAATAATCAAATGGTTGTATTTTATTTTAGGTTCTAGTCAGCAAATTCAATAACGATCTTATACCAAAGTAATTCGAATAGCCACAATCTAATCTATAATAGAAATTATAATAATTCTGACTCAAATAAAAGTAAAAAAGGTGTTTCAGATAGCAAATTCAAGTGATGGTAAATTTTCTAATTTAATAGACCAATTAATTTATAGATTGAAATGGTAGGTAAAATATTTTTCTTTTTACAAATTTCGTTTATATTAATATATTAATATATTTTTTTATTAAATATTAAGTTCATTAAATACATTTAGTATTAGAACACAATTTCCTCAAAATTAAAACAAAGATGGGAAAAGCATATTACAAATTCATGCTGGGGTTCAAATGGTGGTTAAATAATGGGACAGATATTAATTCAAAATTGAAGCTCAAGTTTTGAACCCTAGTGGTGCTTTAAGAAGTGAATAAATATAGTTGGTTCAAGTGATGGTTCGTTAGTGTCATACTTTTTGCAACAAGCATTTGATTTTAGAAATCATTAATATCTATGGAATATTTTAGTTTTCAATGTCCATTTTATTTGGTCTCTTATATACCATTTTTGTAGTACCATTTCCAATCTTATTATCTCCTCTTCGGATTGGCTTAACATCAACTCAATAGATTCATTTTTTAATATCAATTAGAAAATCTTGAAAAAGATAATGAATTAATAAATTGCAACTCAAGAGTGAATTTAATTCAGGAAAATGAAGAAAAGAGAAATAGAAGAGATTCAAAGAAAAATTGATAATAGATATTTGAAAAAACAAGCAATCGAATTAATGTTATATGGATTGATGATCAAAAGAGAAATCCCAGGCGATGGAAATTGCCAGATGCACTATCTGATCAGATCTATGGTGACTTGAAACATAGTAGATATATTTGAAACATTATTGTTAATTGGCTCTGAAAAAATTAAAAATGGGTAATATTTTTTCAAAAAAAGTAAGTATCTCTTATATAACATACATTATAAACAAAATAAATATTAATTATAGTTTTATTTGTATTCAGAGTAACCTTTTTGAAAAATAGTTTTAGCTATGGAATCCAGAATCGCTAATATGGAAACCAAAATAAATAGCTCAAAAAATTTTCATAATAATAATTATAAGAAAATTGTTTTCTATTTTATTATAATCGAATTAATTATAGCATTATTTTAATATAATCAAGTTCTTTCATCCAAAACTTTATCTGAAAAGTCAATGTGTTTTGTATGATGTAAGTTTTTCATTTTTAATAAATATATATATTTGTTTATTATTGGTATTAACATTTATATTATCATTTAAGAATCTCTATTTTAACTTATTTACACAGATTTAGATTTGAAAAATTAATAAAATATAATGAAAAAAAATTAAAGAAGTTATATATATATTGGTCTCGAAAAACTATTTGATGAAAGAAAGAGAAACACATTACAGTGCCCCGATTATATAAATATAGACTCCCAACGATTTATTTTTAAAAATTAATCATTATTGGAGGTAAGATTCTTCATATAAAAATTGGTAAATCTTATTTTATATATGATTTAATAAAAGTTGGGGGTCTATATATATAATCATGGCACCGTAGTTTAAGAAAAGATTTAGTTCCTATCTGGCAGCTTCCAAAAAATTAAGCAACTTGACACAAGTTCTAATCTCAATAATACCGTTATTTCCGATTATATATAGTTTAATTGATAATTTTCTCTATGACCACCCAGATTTCATTATTATAACAACTGCTGCTTTTATTTTATTTAAAATTTTTAATCAAACCCATAAAATAAAAATAAAGATAAAGATAAATTCCTTTTATAAAGTTTTTTCAATAAAAGTTTAAAATTAATTTAAAAATTATTTATGCTGAAATCTCATACGAATTTGTTGGTAAATAAATAAAAATATAACCACAAATAGCAATATAATCACAAAGTGATCACTTTATTTTTGTTATCTAAAATTTTTTCCCTAGTTGGATACTAACAATTGCCTTTTTAAATGTATTTAGAAGAGTCAAATGGGAATGATTATATTCAATTTATAGATTGAAATGCAAAATAATATTTTTTTTTACAAATTTCCATTTATACTAATATATTTATTTATTAAATACAAGTATTTAAAAAAATACAAGATTAATTAAATATAAAATTAAATAAATTTACTAATAAAACACAATTTTTAAAATTTCCTGAAAAAAGCTACTTTTGTTTTTTTAATAGAGGACTAATTTTTAGAAAAGAATATAGCAAATTCTAGTTGGGGTTCAAATTGTGGTTAAGTAATTCAAAATTATATTTCAAGTTTTTAAATAATGGGTGGTGCTTTAAATAGTGAATAAGTGATGGTTCGTTAACAGGCATTTGATTTTAGAAATCGTTAAATATCTATAGAATATTTTAAAATAAATAAAAATAATATAAAATTACATATATTTATATTTAAATTACAAATAAATAAAATAAAAAAAAGTTATTAATGAATAAAAAATAAATGTTTTAAGAAAAATAAAGATTAATTTTGAGTGTGTTAAAAAAAAAAGTTTTTTTTTATTTTTTATGATTAAATGAATTGGTTTAAATAAATCCAATTATTATTTTGATGAGTTGATGGTTGTTTAGGCTTTGAATCCAGAGAAGAATTCACCCATACGACGTTGCATATCTTGTTTACTTTGAGTTTCAGTTTCAAGTTCACGTTTGGTCTTGTCGTGGTCACGTTGTAATTTATCAATTGAATCTTTGAGTAAAGCAACTTCTGATTCGACTTTTCTCTTTTCGTTTTCAAGAGTGAGACGGTTTTGTTGTTCGTCTTGGAAGTCTTTTCTGGCTTTCTTGAGATCTGATTCAAGTTTTTCAACAGTGAGAACTTCTTTGGTCTTGGTCTTTTCGCTTTCACCATATTTCTTTTTGATTTCTTTGAGTTCAGTTTCAACTTTCTTGGTATCTTTGATGGCTTGGTTCTTGGCTTTTTGTTCAGCTTCAACTTGGGCAGTAAGAGCATCAATTTCGGCTTCTAATCTCTTACGTGAACGATCAGAGTTGGTACGTGAGATGATTTCTTCTTCAAGACGACCTTTAGCTTCGACGACTTCACGTTGTAAACCGTTCTTGGCATCTTCAGCGGCTTCTTTGGCGTCGATTTCTTTTTGGAGATTACGACGAGCATCATCGAGTTCTAATTCTAAGAGACGTTTGGCTTGTTCAGCTTCAGATTTGGCTTCTTCGGCTTCTTCAACTTGTTCACGGAATTCTTCGAGTTCACCTTCGAGAGCACGTTTTTCTTTTTCTAATCTCATCTTAACTTTACCTTCATCTTCAACTTGAGCACGTAAATCTTCAATTTGACCTTCGAGTGTTTTCTTGCTCTTATCGAATGAAGCATTCTTAAGTTGTTCTTGTTCTAATCTAACACGTAAATCTTCAAGTTGATCTTCGAGTTTAGCAGCACCGAGTTCAGATTGAGTTTTGGTGGCAGCTTCATCGTTAAGTTTACCTTTAACATCACGGAGATCTTTTTCGTATTTCTTACGATCTTTTTCAGCACGTGAACGGTTCTTAACTTCAGCATCTAATTTGGCTAAGTAATCTTCGTTTTCACTTTCGAGACGTTTCTTGGCACGTTCTGATTCAGCACGAGCTTTCTTTTCTTCTTCTAATTGTTTCTTTAAGGTTTCAACGTCTTCAGTTAATTTCTTCTTAGCTTCTTCGAGTTTGATGTTTGATTCAGATTCAACTTCATATTTCTTCTTGAGTTCTTCAGCTTCTAAATCTTTCTTACGTTTGTGGTCTTCTAATTCGTTACGAGCATCTTCTTCTTCTTCTAATTGATCTTTAACTTCTTCTAATTCAACTTCAAGAGCTCTCTTGGCTTTAACTAATTTGTCTTTAGCTAAGATTTCGTCTTCTAATTGTTCTTTGACTTCTTCAACTTCAGCAACTAATGATTTGACTTTCTTTTCTGAAGCGTTTAATGATGAACGTTCAGTATCTAATTGAGCACGTAATTCATCAACTTCAGCCCAAATTTGTTTACGAATTTCTTCTTCAGCAGCTTTGGATGAACCTTCTTCAGCAGCACGACGTTCAGCTAAGGTTTGTTCGAGTTTCTTCTTACCTTTTTCAGCTTTGCTACGAGCTTTGGTTTCGGTATCTAATTGAGTTTGGAGATCAATGACATCTGATTCTAATTTCTTCTTTAAACGATCAATTGATAAAGAGTTACGTTCAGCTTCTTCGACTTTAGCTTCTAATTCAGAGAATTGTTTACGGGTATTCTTCTTGTCTTCTTCAGCTTTTTGACGAGATTCAGTTTCACGTTCGAGACGGGCTTTGAGGTCATCAATTTCAGCATCTTTCTTACGGATTTGTTCGACATTGACAGTACCTGATTTGTCTTCTAACATTTCTTCTAATTCAATGACACGTTGTTCAGCATCCTTGGCTTTCTTTTCAGCTTTAACCTTGGCAGTTTGAGCAGCTTCAATTTCGTCTTTTAATGATTCAAGAGCAGTTTCAGCAGCTTTCTTGGCTTTGACGGCATTGTTGCAACGATCATCAGCTTCTTCTAAAACGGAACGTAATTCAGATAATTCTTCATTGAGACGTTTGATTTGAACGTATTGTTCAGATGAAAGATTCTTAGAGTCATCGAGTTCAGCTTTAACGGAACGATAGTCTGATTCAACTTTTTTAAGGTTCTTTTCAGCTTTGGTTCTCTTGGTAGCTTCTTCTTCGACGGTCTTGTTGGCTTCTTCTAAATCAAATTCAGCCTTCTTCTTGGCACGTTCAGCACGATCGAGGTTACCTTCAGCTTCTTCAGCAATGGTACGTAATTCTTCATTCTTGGATTGAAGAGCTTTTAATTGTTCGACAGCTTTATCACGTGAAGAAACAACATCAGCATATTGACGTTTGATTTCATCAAGTTCTGATTCTTTTTTGTTTTTAGCTTCATTGACTGATTTCTTGGCATTGATTTCTTCGTCAATTTGGTCTTTGAGTTCAGCAACTTCTTTTTCGAGATCAGCTTTACGTTTATCTGAAGTTTCTTTTTGTTTCTTTTCTTCATCTAATTGTTCACTAACGAGTTTGAGTTCAGATTCTAAAGTAACTCTACGTTTTTCAAGAGCTTGTTTGGATTTAACTTCAGCATCTAATTCACCTTTGAGGGTGGCAACAGTTGATTCTAAGTGTTTTTGAGCAGAGTCACCAGATGATTTAGCATTGTTGACTTCGTTGAGTTGAGTATTTAATTCACTGATTTCTTGTTCTAATTTCTTCTTGAGTTTTTCGAGATTTTGTTTAGATGAGGTTTCTTCAGTTAATTGAATACGGGTATCTTCTAAATCTAATTCAACTTTCTTCTTGGCTTTTTCAACAGCAGCTTTGGCGTTTTGTTCAGCTTCTAATTCGCCTTGGAGACGTGAAACTTCACCTTCAAGAGTAGCCTTAACTTTTTCTAATTTAGCGATGGTTGATTCTAATTCAGAAATCTTGTTACGAAGAGCTTCCATATCAGATTCTTGTTTGACTTTGAGATCATAAAGTGATTTCTTTTCACCACCAGTTGATTCTAATTGATCTTTCATTTCTTCTAACATGGCGTCTAAAGCTTTCTTTTTCTTTTCAAGAGCATCACGATTTTTCTTTTCTTCGTCGAGTTCATTGTTGACGGTGGCTAATTGTGATTCAAGAGTTTTCTTGGTCTTTTCGACATTGTTACGAGCTGAGACTTCAGAGTTGAATTTTTCGTTTAATTCGTTGAAATCAGATTGGAGTTTTTTGTTGGCTAATTCTTGAGCAACTTTAGCTTGAGTTTCAGCAGCAAGAGCATCTTGAACTTGTTTGAGTTCTTCTTCTAATTTCTTCTTTTGACGTAATAATTCAGATTTATCTTTAGTTTCACTATCTAAACGAACAGTTAAATCATCTAATTCACCTTGGAGACGAACACGAGTTTTTTCTAAAACACCCTTGTCTTTTGATTCTTCAGAGAATGAATCAGTAAGTTCTTCGACTTCTTTTTGTAATTCATCTTTGATTTTTTCAAGACGAGTGATGGTATCAGCTTGACCTTCGTTGACTCTCTTCATTTCGTCGAGTTCTTCTTCGTATTTCTTCTTTAATTTTTCAAGAGTACCACGGAGTTTTTGTTCTTCTAAGAGTTCTTCTTCTAAATCACGAACTTTTTCTTCGACTGAACGTTTTTGGGTTTGGAGATTTTCGATGGATAATTTCTTTTCGTCTAATTCTAATTCCATATCATCAACACGGATTTGGAGTTCACGTTTTTGTGATTCAAGAGCATCTTTGTCATCATAAAGAGCTTTAAGAGCTTCTTTTTCTGATTTTAATTGTCTTTGGAGATCAGAAACATTTGATTCAGCATCTTTGAGTGATTTTTCTAATTTATCTTTTTGGTTTGATGAATCAGTTAAAGTTGATTTGAGTTCGAGGATTTCTCTATCTTTTTCTTTGATTTCTTTTTCAAAGTTACGTCTCTTTAATAATGGACGAGCCTTTGAGAAAAGTTTCCACCATGGCCATGATTTGAAATCAATGTAAGCACGAAGATTTTGTTGAATGATACGAGCAGCAACAGTGTGTTCACGAGCTTGTTTGTAAGCTTTACGAGCGATCCAACCACGAGTAGCAGCTTGGATTGATTTGATGATTTCAGAGATACGTTGTTCACGAGCTTCTTCAATACGAGCTAATTGACCAGCACGGAAGAAAATCTTGGTGATACCGAAACGATATTGTTCTGGATCAATGGAAAGATGTTTAAGGATGGCATCAGTAGCTTTTTGGCTATCTTCAGCATCTCTTGGAACATTGGTGGCTAAAAGGTAATAACGTTTAACAAAATCAGCATAGATGATACGATTTGGGAAACCTTTACGAGTGATACGGATACCTTCGAGGACACCATTGCAACGTAATTGATCGAGGACACATTTATCTTCGAGTTGAGCTGGTAATTGTTTGTTGTTTGGAAGAATACAACGAACGAAATGTGGGTTGGTGGTTTCAAGAGTGGCCATGAGTGATGATAATTGTTCTTTGTATTGAGCAGCAACAGTAATAAAGTTGGCACCTTTTTTAGCACGTGAAGCAATTGATGGATCAGTGAATAATTTGGTAACAACGTTATCTGATGAGTCTTTGAAGCAAAGTTCAAGATCTTGTTGGAGTGGATCTTTGTTCTTTTCTAACCAATCTTGAATTTCGTACATTACTTGACCAGCATAATGAGTAACACCAAATTCAGTTTTGCTGAAACGTGGTTCTTCATATTTGGCATTCTTTTTGGAGAAATGGCTGTGTAATTTGGTGATTAAAGTGCTGTCGGTGGCATTTGGGAAAACAGATTGTTCATCTAAAAGAGCTAAAATACCTGGTGGTTGACGACCATCAATTAAATCAATAGTGGCTTGTGAATCAAGACCAAAATCGATAAAGGTCCAGTTGATTTTTTCCTTAAGATATTCTTCTTGTTCGAGTTTGAACATGTGGTGATTGAAGAATTGTTGGAGTTTTTCATTGGTATAATTGATACATAATTGTTCGAATGAATTGACTTTGAAGATTTCAAAACCTGAAATATCTAAAACACCAATAAAGTAAGCTTTACGTTCTTGGCATAAAACTTGATTGATCTTTTTGACTAACCAAAGGAAGAGACGACCATAGAGAGCTTTAACAAGAGCATCTCTTGATGATGAGGATTTTTCAGCATTGAGATGTTGAGCAACTAAATCACGACCAGCAAGAATACGTGGTTCAATGAGAGATTTTTCAAGAGTAGCTGGGTTAACACCGAAAACAGTTGAAGCATAGTTAAGAGCGGTCTTATCTTTGAGGACAGCACCTTCACCAGCACCTTTTTCAAATTTAATGTTACCTAAATGGAGGATACCAGCAACAACTTTGAGAATTGAGAGTTGTTCTTCTTGTGAGAAACCGACAACGTCCATAGCGTTACGAGTGATTTTGAATTCTTCAACATCTGAAACACCTCTGATATCAACACAACCACTCTTATTTAAATAGTTGAATGATTCTGGACCAGATAAGTGAAGAGCTTTCTTTTCTTCAGCTGAGGCACCAGCTAATAATTGGTAGAAAATGTGATAATTTCTTTCGGTATCAGCTTGGAAAACAACACGAGATTTTTCTAATAAATAAGATTGAATGGAAGCACCAGAAATGAAACCAGCACTATTGAATTGAATTTCAATGAATTTACCGAAACGTGATGAATTGTTGTTACGAGTAGTTTTGGCATTACCAAAAGCTTCAAGAATTGGATTGGCTTGAAGAATTTGTTGTTCTAAAACACCACCACCGTTGGTTTGATTACGACCAGCAACTGATGCAAGATATTGAATAACTTTTTTAGTGTTTTCAGTTTTACCAGCACCAGATTCACCAGTAATTAAAAGTGATTGATTTTGACGATCGTCTAACATTGAACGATAGGCAACATCTGAAATTGCGAAAATGTGTGGAGCAACTTCATTTCTTCTACGACCTTTGAAGATATCAACCATTTCTTGAGTGTAGATTGGAATTCTTTTGAATGGATTGACAGCAACTAAGAAAAGACCGGAATAAGTCTATAAAAAAATATTAAAAAAAAAAAAACATATTAATATTTAAGTAATTATTTTTAATTATATAATTTATAATATTATACATACGTAGATTAAATCTTTGTTATAACGAACACGTAAATTGTGGAAAACAGCTGGTTCATTTAAATATGAAAGTTCAGACATATCTTCAACACCATCAAATTTGACTGGATTACGTTGATTGGCATCGTCTTTTTTAACTGATCTTTCTTGACCATCAACAGTTTTGAATGAGAATGTATCAGCTGATTCACTGGTGATTTCACCACATTCATAACTATCTCTTTCTTTTGGATCTGGATTATACCTATATTATTAAAAATAATTTAAATATTAATATTTTTGTTCTGTTTTTTTTTTTTATTTTTTTTTTTTTTTAAAATATTTACCAAATGTATCTTTTATCAGATGCAGTGAGTTTGAAAGCATCACTTTCACCTTGATTCATTTTAAGGTATTTCCAATAATCGGATTTTCTATCATTAATTGGATTCATTTTTTTTTTTTTTTATTTTCTATAATTATAAAAAAACAGATAGATAAACATTAATATTTTTTTAATTTTTTTTTTTTTTTTAAGAAATTTTTTTATTTGAAAATTTTTTTTTATATTTTAAAAAAAAATTTTTAAAAAATACTTACACAAAGTAAAAATACAGTGAATTATATAAAAAATAAATAAATAAATAGATATATATAAATAAAAAAAAAATAAAGTTTAAATATTAATTATAAGGATAAAAATATTTAATAACTTTATATTTATTATAAAAAAATAAAATATATAATGAAAAAAAATTTTAGAAAAAAAAACCTTTTTTAAATATTTTGGAAAAAAAAAAATAAAAAAAAAAAATAAAAATAAAAAAAAATAAAAAAATTTTATTATTTAAAAATTTTAATTGAAAAGCTCATAACTGCATGGGTGCAAATGGGTTGGTTGTAAATAACCACTTTTCAAAAAAAAAATTTGATTTTTAAAATATTATTATCCATTTTTTTAAGCTTGGTTATTCTATATTAATCACCAAAACTACTTTTTTTTTGTTTTAATGTAAAGTTTTTTTCTTTTTAATATAATGTTTTTTGATTTTTTTTTTTTAAATTAATATGTCGAAAGTATTTAGTTTTGTGTGTTAAATTATTTATGTGTGTTTATATGTGTTTATATGTGTGAAATAAAAATTAAAAATCCTACCACCACACACAATAAATCATAAGTGTTTTTTTTTTAAAAATAGAAGCTGGCTTCGTATTGAGATAATTTAATAATATGAATTTTTTTTAAACATTGTTATTTTAATATATTTTTATAAATAAAAAAATCATTTTTTTTTTTTACATTTGATTTTCTGTTCAACCACTAAAAAAAAAAAATCAGTGATAATAAAATATAAAAAAAAAGATATATATGAAAAGATAAATATATCTTTAATTTTTAAATATATATTCAATTATCTATTGGTTTTTTTTATCATTATACATTTTCCTGCAACTGTAATACCAATATTTATATATTTTAAAACCCAACAATATTCGTATTGATTTTTTTTCTTTTTTCTATTTTTTTTCAATTGTTTTCTACTCTCCTTTCTAATCCTCTCATTCTCAAATAACTTTTTATATTTATATCTAATCTAGTTTACATCTATATCTTTTTTGTATCTATCTCATTTTTTTAAAAATATCTTTAAATTGGTATTAAAGACCCTTAAAATAGTATATATATTAAAAAAAAAAAAAATGATTTGCAAAATAGTTAATCTACATCTTATAAATTGTCATTTATATATTTTATAAATATAAATAATTATTTTTAATGATTATTCATATTAAAATTTTTTTTTTATCTGTCCAAATCAATTTTCTCATAAAAAAGCCAAAAAAAAAAATCCCCCCCCGACAAAAAATGATTTTTTGAAATGAAAAATAATTTTTTTTAATTTTTTTTTTAATTTTTTTTTTTTTTTTTTTTTTTTTTTTTTTTTTTCCCAACTCTATCATCATCGATTTCATGTTTATTTGAAACTATAGTAAATTGAAAGAAATATTTTAATTTCCAAAACCAAAATTAAACCAAAATTAAATAAATAAATAAAAAATTTACCCCACCAAACCCAAAAAAGGTTTAATTAAAAATTTTGGGTTTTTTTTTTTTTTTTTTTTTTTTTTTTTTTAAATATTAAAATATTATAATATAAGATTATTTTTATTATCTATTTATTTATTTTATTTATATTTGTTATTTATATTTTTTTTTTATTTTTTATAATTATTTTTATTTTTATTTACATATCTTCAACTGACCAATAATAAGCTTCTTGAGCAATTGAATCAGTTTTACTTTTTTTATTGAAAAATTCTTTTTCGAATCCATTAGATCTATCGACACCATCCCATCTATATCCCGGTGCTATGTTGTAACGATTAGAGGGCCATTGTCCTTTATATTTTGGTTTTTCATCTTTTTTTGATTTTTTTCTTTTTTTTGAGGATCCACTGCCACCCAACATTGCCATAGGGTCACCCCATCTATCTAGATCCATTTGTTCTTCATTTAAATCTTCATCATCTATATATCTTGCTAAAGGTTTATTCATTTCTTTTTCCAATCTTTCTTTTTCTTCTTCTTGTGTTCTTTTTTTAACTTTACCAACACCCCATTCCATATCTCTTTCTAAAGCAGCTTGTTCCTCCAATCGTTGTTTTTCTATATCTTGCTGTTTTTGTTGTTTTATATCAACTTTTTTACCTGTTAGCTTATCACGATATATAGTTTCTCCACCTCTACGTGACAATTTTTCATCATTTCTTTTAATAGTTTCATTTTGATTTCTATTATTTCTTGGTGGTGATAAATCATCATTATTAGTTCTATTATTTCTTGGTGGTGATAAATCTACATTACTTCTATTGTTTCTTGGTGGTGATAAGTCATCATAGTTTCTATTGTTTCTTGGTGGAGATAAATCATTATTACGATTTCTATTATTTCTTGGTGGTGATAAGTCATCATTATTTCTACTATTTCTTGGAGGTGATAAGTAATCATTTTTATTTCTACTATTTCTTGGTGGTGATAGGTCATTGTTTTTTCTATTACTTCTTGGAGGTGATAAGTCATCATTTTTATTTTTTCTATTACTTCTTGGTGGTGATAAATCATCATCATTATTATTCCTATTATTTCTTGGTGGTGATAAATCATCATCATTATTTCTTTTATTTCTTGGTGGTGATAAATCATCATCATTATTTCTTTTGTTTCTTGGTGGTGATAAGTCATCATAATTTCCATTATTTCTTGGTGGTGATAAATCTACATTATTTCTATTATTTCTTGGTGGTGACAAGTCATCATAGTTATCATTTCTTTTTTTTGGTGATGAGTTATTATTTTTAAGTTTAAAACCATTTATTTTATTTTCGTTTGTAATATTTTTATTTATTGAAGTTTCGATAGTGACCCATTGAGAGGAGGTTGAACCTAATTTGAATTCATCGCTATTTACAATTACTGGTTTTTCATCATCCTTTTCATCATCCTCATCATCTTCATTATCGCTATTATATTTATTATTCTTTTTATTATTTATAATGTTTTTATTTATTTGATTATTTTCGTATTTAAAAGTTGTATCTGTTTGTTCATCTAAATCTACTATCTTTAATTGATTCACTACCACTTTTTTTTTTCTCTTTTTTTTAATTTCTTTTGAATTTGATGATGATGATGAATCTTCGTTTGATATTGGATCTAAATATTTTTTTAAATATTCATTCATTATTATTAATTTATATATATATATTTATTTAATTTTTTACTATAATTTATTTATTTAATTATTTTATGATATTTATTGAAAAATAAAAATAAAAAAAAAAATACACAAACAATACGTAACTATCTTTTTTTTATGATTTTTAGACCAAACGAAAAAAAAAAATAAATAAATAAAAAAGGAAATGAAATCGGTATTAAAGGATGCAATTTATAATTATGCGTTATTCATTTATTTCCAAAAAAAAGTTCTTGCCAAGACAAAAAAATATAAATAGAAAAGAAACTTTCCTAAATTTTTTTTTAAAAATTTAAAAAAAAAAAAAATTTTTTTAAAAACTTTTTTCCAATTTTTCTTTCATTTTTAAAATTCAAAAAAAAAAATTTTTTT